GTTTGGTCCAGTGAGATTATTCCATTCAAATTATTAAAAAAAGGAAGAAATTCTAGGCAGTGGTTTCACCCAGTAAGATTATTTTATTCAAATTAAAAAAAAAAAAGGAAGAAATTCCAGGCAATCGTTTGGTCCAGTGAGATTATTTCATTCAAATTATTAAAAAAAAGGAAGAAATCCCAGGCAGTGGTTTGGTCCATGATTCCATTCAAATTATTAAAGAAAAAAATGAAGAAATTCCTGGCAGTAGTTTTGCCCACTGAGATGATTCCATTCAAATTATTGAAGAAAACAAGGAAGAAATTCCAGGCAGTGGTTTTATCCAATGACATTATTCCATTCAAATTATTATAAAACCAACCTAAGAAAAATGGTTGAAATCCCAGGCCATTGTAAGATATTCCCAGACAGAACCCCTCCTTAAAATCCACCCCCAAACTCCCTAAATCCTCATCTATTCAGMCAAATCTTCACACCCGCGAGTTGTGGTGACAATCCCCCGCTCCCTTTGTCCCCCAAAGCTGTGGATGATCCTATCCCAGAGAAATCCCCGTTTTTCCTCCGCAGCTCGGTGATTCCCAAGGAATTCAGCTCGTGCAGCCTGCAGAGCTTTGAGAAGTTCATGCTGGCCGACATGCCCGAGTGCCTGACCAACGTCCCCGCGCTCAGCAGCATCGTGGCCCCGCCGTCCTGCGGCAACGGCTTCGTGGAGAAGGGAGAGGAGTGCGACTGCGGCACCCCCGAGGTACCCGGGGCGGAAAATCATTGGGAAAGGGAGAGGGGTTTGTCCGGGAATGGATGGACACTGAGTTGGACACTGAGATGGACACTGAGCTGGACACTGAGCTGGGCACTGAACTGGACACTGGGTCTGGCTGGAGAGAGAGTGAGTTTGGGTCAACAAACTTGATCTGAAGTGGCCAGGGATGGAAAAACCCTTGGGAAAGGGAGAGAGGCTTGTCCAGGAACAGAGGGACACTGAGCTGGACACTGAGGTGGACACTGAGCTGGACACTGAGGTGGACACTGAGGTGGACACTGAGGTGGACACTGAGCTGGACACTGAGGTGGACACTGAGATGGACACTGAGGTGGACACTGAGATGGACACGGAGATGGGCACTGAGCTGGACATTTTGGTGTGGCCAGAGTGGGAGTTGGGGTCAGAAAACTGCTGAGCTGGAGTGGCCAGGGATGTGCTGGACACTGAGCTACAGAGGGAGTTGGCATCAGCAAAGCACTGAGCTGGAGTGGCCAGGGACGGAAAAATCCTTGGGAAAGGGAGAGGGGCTTGTCCAGGAACAGACGGACACTGAGCTGGACACTGAGCTGGACACTGAGCTGGACACTGAACTGGACACTGAGCTGGACATTTTGGTCTGGCTGGAGAGGGAGTTGGGGTCAACAAAGCGCTGACCTGGCGTGGCCAGGGATGTGCTGGACACTGAACTGGACACTTGGGTGTGGCCAGAATGGGAGTTGTGGTCAGCACAGAGCTGACCTGGGGTGGCTGGGGACGAGATGGGCACTGAGCTGGACACTGAACTGGACACTGAGCTGGACACTGAGATGGACACTGGGTCTGGCCGGAGTGGGACTTGTGGTCAGCACAGAGCTGACCTGGGGTGGCTGGGGATGTGCTGGACACTGAGCTGGACACTGGGTCTGGCTGGACTGGGAGTTGTGGTCACCAAAGCACTGACCCGGAATGGCCGGGGACGTGCTGGGGGTGGGAAATCCAAATGCTGTTTTGTGGGGTGGTGGTGACAGAGGAACTGAGAGCGTGACAAAGCCAAACCCCAAGTTCCCTGCGCGGCTTCTACCCCAAACCCGGGGCTTTTGGGGCAAACGTTTCCCAAAAAGGGCAGGGCTGGACCCCACCCCAG